CGGCTCTCCGCACTGCGCGCCCGCGGAGCCCGCCGCTCCGGGGCCCATGTACTGGAAGCATGAGAACGCGGCCCCGGCGCTGCCCGAGGGCTGCCGGCTGCCGGCCGAAGGCGGCCCGGCCACCGACCAGGTGAGCGAGCGAGCGGCCGAGCTGGGAGCGGCCGAAACCGGGGGCCACGACCCAGCTGGGCCCGGCCGAGTGGCGGGCGGCGGCGGGGAGGAGGGGTGCGGGATGCGCCCAAGAGTGTGTGTCTGTGAGTGTGCGAGCGCGCGCGAGCGCGGGGGGGGGGGGTCGCGGAAAGCGGGAACACATTATGCAAATGTTGGAGGAATTTCTCAAAAAGCGATTTAGCAAAGACACAGGCGAATCAAGAGGAGGCGAGGCCGGTATTGTCCGTCTGAATAGACGCTGATAGCGCCGATGCGCCGGGGGTTGTTCGGGCGCATCGCTGAGAATCCCGACGCGGGGCCGGTCCCGGGCGCGCTGAGGGGCTAGAGGTGCTTTTTCCTCCTCTCGAAGGCCTCTCTCTTCTCTTTTTGGTCCGGTTTCAACCCACCCCCCACCCCCATCTCGCTCTCTTTGGCTCCGGGTCTCCCTCGGACTGGCCCTCCAACGGCGCCTGAATCAGAGTCACTATCGCCCTTTCAATTTCGCGGCACGAGTCGGGCGGGCTGGCCGACGCTCTCCGCGCTCCGGGTTTTATTTTTCTCAATCACCACCACCACCACCACTACCACCACCCCCATCTCCTTTTTATTTTCTTTCTTTCTCTCTTTTCTCCTTTTTGCATTTTGTGCCGAGAACAGGAGAAGGGAGCGAGGAAGGGGGTGGGTGGAGAGAGAAAAAATTCGATTTTTAATTACTACCATTAAAAAATCAAATTTGCAATTCTTTGGGCGGCCTGATGGATCTCACTGATTGACAGTTGGAATTGACACTCTGGCTACCTCTTATCTTGGGCATTCACGACAATTTCTAATTGCAGGTAGTTTGTGTGTGTGCGCGTGTTTTTTCCCCCCTCGGAGGCTTGGATTGCAAGGGAACTAAGCGATTACTTCAAGAGCCACGGGTTAAGTGCAGGGAGAGGGGGAGAGAGAGGGAAAAAATCCAATCCAAATTCAAATTGCTTCATTAGAGAGACACCGCTTTTGTGGGGAAGGGCTTTAAATGCCCACTACAAAGTTAGGACTCATTGTTCGGCGCCGGTTTATATAACAGGCGCAGGGAGGCGCTGGGCTCAGGCTGCGCGGAGCCAGTTCCGCAGCCGCCGCCGCCTGCATTCCCTACCCCACCTCCCCCAGGTGATGGCCCAGCCAGGGTCCGGCTGCAAAGCGACCACCCGCTGTCTTGAAGGGACCGCGCCGCCAGCCATGGTGAGTCCGTTCGGCTCCGCCTTCGGCCCTTGGGCCCCCAACAGTCCGGCTTGGGGCACCTGGCCTGGTTTTCTGGCCGCGAACCGCTTCCCGGTGCGCTGGGGAACACGGTGTGGGCGCCACCTCTCTCTGAGCCTCGGTTTTCCGGCCAGAAAGGTGGGCTTTCACTGCTCCCCGCACCCGGGACGAGCGCGTTAAGAGTTGGGGCCGTCCCTTCCTCTCCAACAGGCCCTTCCACTCCAGTCCTCCAGCCTAAAGCGCGACAGCTCAGGCAGATTTCGTTGTCAGTTAGTGCGCACGGGCGCTAGACTCTTCTGGGAGGCCAGGGCTGCTGTGGGCACCCGGCTCAGTGCTGTACTGTCTCTCTTTCCCACTGCAGGCGCAGTCAGATGCCGAGGCGCTGGCAGGCGCTCTGGACAAGGACGAGGGTCGGGCCTCCCCGTGTACGCCCAGCACACCGTCTGTGTGCTCACCGCCCTCTGCCGCCTCCTCCGTGCCGTCTGCCGGCAAGAACATCTGCTCCAGCTGCGGCCTTGAGATCCTGGACCGGTATCTGCTCAAGGTGAGTCAGGGTGGGTGTTGGCAGGTGTGGGGTGCAGCCCAGGGCAACTTAGGGAAGCATCGCGGGTGCCAGATTCCTGTAATTCCAAACACTGGCTCAGCAGCTGTCGGGCTTTGTGGCTTTGGGCAAGCCTTAGAGTCTCTGTGCCCAGGGTCTGGTCTGAAAAAATGGGAAGCATGTATTTCTATTTCCCTAAACCTCAGTATTACTGAAGAAACATAAGGGAGTCCTGCGCACCTCCTGAGCTTCTGCAGCTACCTGCAAATGAGGCCGGGTAGGCTGGGACTAGGCGTCAGAGAACCTCCCGCTAAGCCGACCCTCATCTCCGCCCCCTCCCCAGGTCAACAACCTCATCTGGCATGTACGATGTTTGGAGTGCTCCGTGTGTCGCACATCGCTGAGGCAGCAGAATAGCTGCTACATCAAGAACAAGGAAATCTTCTGCAAGATGGACTACTTCAGGTAGGCTGCAGCTCCCGAGGCCAGCAGTGATGTGGCAGGCAGGCCGGCCCCGGGCACATGGGCACATACCCAGGGCATTTTTACTGTGTCTGGTCTCAGATTCCAAAGCCTTTGGGTCTCAAGTGCACTCCTGGAGCCACACCTGCCCAGCACACAGCCTCTCAGCATCTCAAACCCAGAGCTCCAGAGAGAGCTGCTTCCCCAATCCCACGGCCCACTGGGTTTTGGTCGTGTCTCTGTCTGTCTCGGGTCTTGCCTGTGTCTCAGGCTCCATTTCTAACCTCAGCCACCATGGTCGAGTTCTGATGTCCTGGACTCTGGCGGGACCCCTTAGATCCCAGGCGTCCTTCGGCTGCACCTCCAGTGCGCTCCAGCTCTGGTTGCAGACCTTCTTGGACTGCAGTCCTGTCTCTGAGGGAATCGTAAGCCAAGCCCAGACTATCCTTGCTCAAGCTCTGATCCAGGCCCTTCTCCGGGCTCCTATCTGATTTGGTCCCGAAACTCCAGTGCTGCATCCATCTCAGACCCTAGCTCACATGCAAGTGTTCATTCCAATCCCCAATCTTGGTCTTCGGCTCCACCTCAGTTCACGCCTTGGCTGCAGGAGTGTCGCATTTCGAGTCTGGGGTCTTGCCCTCGTCCTAAGCACCTGTTCCAGTCCCAGCTCCGACGTCGTTTCCTGTCCAGCTTCAGCCTTTTCTGGGTCTATGATGAGAAGGCGGAGAAGCAGGCCCTTCAACCTGCCAAGGATCACCTTGGGGCCATGCTCTTCGCGCCCCAGGCCTGCATACCCTGAAAGCTCTCCATCACTGCCAAGTAGATCTTCCTGTCGCACCACGGCATCTCAGACTTGTGCGCGCCTTGCCTCCCGACGCAGCCCTGCCTGACTCGGTCATGGGTCGAGGTCATTGCAGTGGTGGGGGCTCTGCGGCAGGCAGTCTGCCCTATCCTGGCCGGAAGTATAAACCAGGCCTGACCAGATGGTGGTCAGTCCTATGAATCTTAGAAGAATGGTATAGATTTGATTCCTGGGAGGAATGTTTATTCTCAAATGGTTTCTCAGGAAGTGGAGAAAGCTGCTTTCCCTGTAGTCTACCTTCTCAACTCACATACATCCTTTCCTTCTTGCCTCTGGAGAAGTCATGGTTGCAGTCTTCCTGGGAAGACTCCAGCCCCAAAAAGAGCCTCTGAGGGTCAGGGAAGGTGGTGGACCGAAATGCTGCCAGTTCCCTTCTCCCTGGGCATTGAAACTCCAGAGACCTTGAAAGAGACCTTGAGCCTAGGGGTATGTTGGAAGCTTTTGGAGCTGGGGTTCTCTGAGAAAACCGGAAGAAGCATGGTTAAAGTGGCAGACTCTTCCTTTGTATGATGGGCTTGAGAGCTGCAGCTGGGGTGGGGGTGGGAGTGCTCTCCCAGGTGGCCTAGGACTCCTGGTGCAAGGAGCATGTGCGTCTGTATTGCCTGTATCATCTGGCATCTGAGTAGTTCTGGAGAGTGCAGGGTCAGGCGTTTGTGGATAGCATGTGGGGTTTTAGTGACAAACATTTGCCTTTTAGTTCGTGTGTGTGCATGGAATGTGTGGTGCCTATATGCGAATGTTGAGACTTGGTGAGTGTGTGTGTGTGTGTGTGTGTGTGTGTGTGTGTGTGTGCAAGGTAGTCAGAACAGGATCAGGTCTAGATGAGCATCTCAAGGTGGGAGGGTGAGGTGGAATGAGAGGATTCTGATGTCTAGTCACTCTCCACACCTATCCTCTCCTCTGGGGGATCATTCCTGCTAAGGCCCTCCACCCAGCACTGAGGGATGCTGTGGGGGGGTGCAACCAGAGTATAATGTCTCCTCCCACTGTCCCATCTCACTGTGGATTTGGCCCAGTAGGAAATGGAGGTTAGAGTCACTGTCTAGCACCTCCCTGATATAAGCCTGCTTTCAGTTGGGGAAAAAGAAAAAGCCAGCTTCCATTTTGAGGTCTTTTGGATTCATCAGCTACCAGGAAGCTTAAGGAACCCAACAGGAAGGTAGCTAGGCTGTCCCTGTGATAATAGACTTGGAAGCCTTGCTTGCTCCTTGCCTGAATTCCTTCCCTACTTCTCCAGCCCCAGTTTGTGACCATGCCAGACTGAGCCTCCTTGGTGCTGTTTTACTGGACCTTGAAGGACTAGCCAAAACTAGGGTGTCGATGTCATCATCCAGAGCCTCCACTAATGCCCTGTTCCACTGCAGTGGATGGAGGGTGATGTGTGCAGCCTTTGGGGGCAGAGGCAGGAGGCTGAGCTCCGCAAGGCAGGTTGTGACCTTGGGCATGTCACTGTATCTCTCTGCCCTGTGTTTTCCTTTTCTAAGATTGTTTCCTTGAGCTGCCAAAGAGGCCACTGAGGGAATGTCTCTCTATAAGCACCTTAAGTGACAGTGGCTACCAGTGCCTCAGTTACCAACATTGTCATCCTTGTGACAAGGGGAGGTCCAAGGACTCAGGTTCATGAAGAACACCAACCTTTTCGAGTGACAAGAGATTCCAAAGCAAAACTGAAGCAGATGTTTTAGACAAGAAGATAGAGGAAATAAAAGCTTACATTCTCTGGGATATGGGTAGAATTTTTGCTTTTCTGAATATTTCTCTCCCGCCAGGTCTCTCCTTGTAGTCATAACCCATCTCTGGCAGTTCCACCTGTATACAAAAATTATAAAACCCACAAAAAAGAAAGAAAAAGCCAGCAGACTGCTAAGCAAGAATTATTGTCTGAACCGAGCCCTTGCTAGAGAAGGCTGAATAGTGTTTTGTGGTATGTAGATCTCCTCTCAAGAGCTGGAGCTCACAGAGGGATCATGAGATTCTCTGGGCCTCTTTCCTGAATGTGGGGTCAAGGTCTGGTGGGATGTAAACTAGAGTACTTTCTTCAGAGAGAGGCTGAGGTCTTCCCAGGGTAGAGGAGAATAAGAGGGAACAGAGGGGTCAAAGCCCCCTGGAGAGGCCACTTGGGCACCCCATGGTCCTCTAACCTTTGCTCTTGGGTTCTCCAAGATTCTGTCCCCTATCTTGGCCCTCCTGAACACTGGCTTGTGGATATTCCTTCAGTCTTCTTTGGCAGAGTCCACATTGGTGACTCAGAAATTAGGGATTAGGACGGAACTCTTTGGGCCAGTGCGCTGTTGGCCCGTGTGTGTGTGTGTGTGTGTGTGTGTGTGTGTG